CAAAACGTCAATGACTTACTTGTCGGTATTGCGACATTTCGTGTAAAATAAAAAATGAAAATAATCAATCGGAATTGAATCGGAATGAATCGGAAAATAGAGAAAGATGTCCAAGACGACCATCTAATTCCCCGTAGATTGAAGAATATGGGAATTACGCACTGTTTATGCACTATACAGCCCGTGCACTTTTGATTTTTCATCCTCTATTCCTAATCGACTGCCCTCTTGGAGTGAAAAACCTTTTTCTGCGGTCTGGTCGTCCTCGCGACTATTTTCCTTAACTGTTCCCGAAAGTCACCCCCTGTAGATACACATGGTAGTACGCTTAACGGAAGTACTTTGTATGCTCTGACTTGTACGATGCAGCCGCCGCAGCATCCTTCCCATGGGGTCATTCTGTAAGCTAGCCCCGACGCACTGAGGGAAATACCGGCTCGAGACAGGCACAGGCTGTCGAGCGGACGAAGGTAGTCTTGCTACGGTTAAGGGCAGGGAAGGAGCCCCCTGACCCGAGTTGAGGATGTGGTGCCCAGTTGTCGCCCGATGCCCTGAGGAAGCGGCCGTGGAGGATCTCCAAGAGTTACGTACCCTTTCACTAAGGAACGCTATCGATTTAGTTTAAAGGGACGAGTCCAGGGAAAGGAAAAGAGTTATCGGCTATAAGGATCTCGACCAATCGGAATTATTAGTTCTCGAATTTGCTTATTGTCTATTGACTACTTTAAAGCAATCTGTCTTGGGACCCCGATCGGGCTGCCTCGCGCTCCCGTGCTATTTCTTTATAGGTTAGGTTAGCTGTGTTTTCGTGTGCGACGTAGTAGGCTCTCGCTTGTGTAGTTCTTGCGCAGCTCTCGCTGTATCCAGAAAATTCTCTCGATTTTCTGTGTTTCGAAGGTGCAGTGCTGTCCCCTCCCGAGTGTCCCCTGGATACGGTTCTCGACCTTCACGGATTAGCTGAGCCAGCTCCGGTGAGTACTCCCAATTTATTTATCGGTCAAGAGGTTTCGATTCTTAAGCTCCGATTCGCTCTGTTACGTTCTCGATCAATTTCTCTTTGTTTCCGGCACTATTTACCCGACGCTTACTCCGACCCTCTCTGTCTCAACCTAGCAGCCTGAGCGACCGTGCATTCCCGTAACCACCCGCTCCCGTTCGTGCATCCAGTTGCGTTTGCTGATTTTGCGCGACCTCAAAGATCAGCACCTACGGTTGGGATTCTCGATTTTATGCGTCTCCATGAATCGACAGGGTTCGTTAAGCTACCATCTACTCCAATAGATTCCGTCACAGCACTCATTTCGGCGGAGTTGGGACTATTTTTGCTCAAATGCCAGGTAATACCGGCTTGTCAGTTGCCGGTGGTACAAGGATTGACTGGCGTCCGCCTGGTTTTCGGATCCGTGGGCAAAGGGTGGACGGCCGAAGGCGACGTAGGTTAGTTCTTGAAGAAGGTTAGTTCTCGTTTTTTTGGCTATCGGTGTCGAGTTAAGAAAACACGTTACAGTATGTACAATACGATATTCGATATCAAGAACACCTTGTCTGTAGGTGCGGTTAATCTAATTCGGGAATAGCACACCTGATACATACGGAGGCTCCTCCCATATTCGGAGTCTAAGATACCTCACCCTGTATATGTCATTGAACTTCGATCGAATCAATTCTCCCTGGGAGGTCAATTCGGTTCATCGAATAAAGAAACTTGGAGTCGCTGCAATATGTATCGTTATTTATATGGCAGAGTATACCTGTGGATTTTTCAATAGGGGCTTCTTTGTCTCGGACAACCCCTCGTTGGCGGGAAAGGTCAGGGCTGCACTAAGTAGCCAGACAATTCTTTCATTGGTTGAGAAAATCAATAACAGGGATGATCATCCCGCTTAAGTAGGGGACGCCTCTCTAGACCAATCCGAACACGGGTATAGTTTACTTCGAGGGTTGTAAGAGTCTTTCCCTTCAGTTTCCGCTAAACTTGTAAACGTATAGTATCTTGGCTATGAGACCAGTGCATTGATCATGAAATGTATGATCTGAAATTAAATCTTTCAAATATTTCATTTACGGAGTAGCGTATAAATGTGACATTGTGATTTCAGTTGAGGTTCCTTATTAACCATTAACTGTTTATCTTCACTGTAAAATTTCTAAAAAAAAATCTTTCAACTTAAAGTGCATCGAGTGATTTGGAAAGTCCGTGAATGTAACATGAATATGCCGGAAGCTATGAAAGTGTTAACGTGGAACAAGTGGGTGCTAGAGTTTCTAGGAATTTGGCCATCCAACGAAAGTCTTTTTACGTTTTCCTTCTTCTTCTTTCTTGTGTCTATGGCAACTTGTTTTGTTTATGCGGACTTAATTTATCGTATCTCCGACTTTAAATACGTCGTTGAAAATTTAACGGAAAATATCGTATTAACCTTGCTGTGCTGTAAAATTGGTCTCTACAGATTGAATAGACGATTAATGAAGGAAATATTACTTGATATCAAAATGGATTACGCAATAGAACTGTACAACACAGAGGAACAAAAGTCTATCTTTTTAGCATACAACAGATTGTCCAAGTCATTCATTAAATACTCAGTAACAACAACGACCGTTGCAACGGTACTTTATTATATTCAACCGTTAATGGATCATGCAAACTCCCACAGAAAATGTAAGAAATATCATATCAGTAGAACAAAAAGTTTTTGTAACATCTGCTTCATTGATTATTTGATTTGAAGTAACAGAAAATTCGTCGATTACCTACATTTTGCCTTATCACATGCGTATGTCTTTCAACATTACGGAATCGTCGTTATATTATTATGTATACGCTTACGAAGGAGTGCTCGTCCCGATTATCGCATGCGGATATTCCGGCACCGATTGTCTATTGGTGACACTGACGCTACATTTGTGCGCGCAGATTTCCGTTTTAGCAAATCAAGTGGAAAATTTTAATGGCGATTTTCGTAAATTTCATAGTCATCTAAAACAAGTTGTCACTAAGCATTCTCGAATAATAAGGTAAATTGTCATGTCATTTTGCACTTTGTATCACTGTGGAAATCTTCATTTAATTAATATAATATTGCATTAATACGGACATAACATATTTCAGTCTCTCGGTAAAGTTACGTACCGCGTTTGCTTACTTTCTGCTCGTACAATTAGTGGGTGCAACTTTAGTAGTATGCCTGGCTATTTACAATCTTCTAAAGGTAATATTTCAGCATTATTTCTTAAGACAGTAGTTAATTTTGATGGTCAGAAGAGAAGTAATGATTTTCATGTAAAGAGGAATTTCTGAAAATTCTAACAAATGTTTCACATTTCAGAATTATGCCACAGGTCACACTGCTCAATTATTCGGGTTTATCTTCTATGGTTCTTCTGTGACTGTGCAGCTTCTCGGTTATTCTTTTATCGGAGAACGCCTTATGACTGAGGTGATGTTCCAAAAATAATCTTGATCCATTGCCTTTTAATGAATCGAATAAATTGAGAGGTATTTATACATTTTTTATTTTTATTCAGAGCTTGAAGTTGAGCGATGCATTTTACAATTGCAAATGGTACGTTTTGTCACCGATATACGTCAATCTTGTTTTATTTTGTATACTACGCGCGCAAGTGCCACTTGTATTAACAGCTGCAGGATTTTGTACATTTTCCCTGCAAAGTTTCACAGACGTGAGTTTGAAAATGCGAACAACTTTGAATTGAAGCACTTTGGAGCCCCGCTACAAGGAATATGTGGTGGTACTTTGTACATTCGTTTGCTTTCGGATAAATGTGCGCGAAGCACGGGTAAATTAATTCTTCCCAGGATCAAATTATGTTGAAATTACTATTTCTGGCAATTACGAGTTCCATAAAAAGAGTCAACGCGTGTAGATAAACGGATCGAACTGAGTATGGTGGATTAAATTAAATTCTGGATATCGAAGATGCTCTGTCAGTTAGGATTTCTTCGTTTCTACGAATTGAGTGCATTAAGTGCGACAACATAATCTATGTAGTTGTAATTGAAGACAAACCTAATTTCCCTGACATTTTAATATGGTATAACTTACAAATTCATTTAATGTTTCTAGGTGGTCAAAACGTCAATGACTTACTTGTCGGTATTGCGACATTTCGTGTAAAATGAAAAATGAAAATAACTAATTGGACCTGGTGATTGAATTATTGTAGCATAAATTGGAGTTAAAAGATATAGGAATTACGCACTATTTATGCACTATTCAGTGCGTGTAGTTTTGATTTTCCACCCTCTATTCCTAACTGAGTTCCCTATTGGAGTGAAAAATCTTTTTCTGTAGTTTGGTCGTCCTTCGCGAGCCCCTCTATTTTCCCTAAATTTTATCGAAAGTAACCCACTCTACACACCCAGAGTAGTACACTTAACGGAAATATTCTGTATGCTCCAACTTATGTGGTGCAGCAGCTGCAGTATTCTTCCGATGTCCTCGGCGACAACCAACCTCCAAAATACACCGAATCAGCTACTCTTTTCTCTCATTCTATAAGCTAATGGATCCAGCTCAGGCGTTTGTCACATGAAGTTATCACAAATTATTGAAGCAATAGAAAGAAAAAAAAAAGCAGCAGACAGCAAACTACAGTTGCATGATAGAACAGAAGCGGTAATACTAAAGTTAAGAATCTGTTTGTCTTGGACTAACGTTTGGAGCATATTAGATTCTAAGTATTCTAGGTTTCCTACACGGTAGGATTCGAGAATTTCAAATTTCACATCACAATATATATTGTATAGAGCATCATATGTTACTGAGGCACGATTAGCACATGAACTTGCTTTCGTTTAGTGATTTTGTTTCCACTGTAAGGTATACAGAATGTAAGTGAATTTTATAAGTATCGTTGAAATTCGAGCAGGTAACTTCTCTACAGAGGGCCACTTAAATTCAACGAATTATAAAACAGAGGATCGCAACAAGGGTACCATTATCTACGTGACATGGTACACCTGTGGACTTTCTAATAGGGGATAGTTTCTATCGAGCGGCCGTTCGTTAGGTTAGGTTAGGTTGGAGACGGGCTAACCGTGAACTTGCGTGCTGCTCATTCGATACTAAAGAAAATCTGTTCTTCGCGGGGGGTAGGCCGCACTTTGCCTACGCATATCTGGCGAATCAATCAACGCCAGGACGTAGTTTATACTTGATTTGCTTATTCCGATGTGTTACATGCCGACATTCTGCTCCCATTTGTCTGCTGATAACACTGGAGCTTCGTATTTGTGGACAGATGTCGATCATGGCAAGATAGTGAAAAGTATGGTGCAGGATCCAAAAATTGTACAACAGCAGTTCAATCAAATCGGTATAAAGTATCGTTATTTGATAAGTTAGAGTTTGTAATATTAATTTGGTTATTGATATCACTGTTACAGATAATGACAAACTAGAAGTATATATATTTTTAAGACTCTCTGCAAATATACAGTCCGTGTTTCTCTCGACCATCAGACGTACGAAGGATTCGCAGGTATCACATAAAAATCCAGAGATTCGACTGGATGGAATATTTCTTCGGATTTTAACAGCTTCTACAAAACGGTGAGTGATGCTGGATGGCAACTTCTCTTTATTATGATTTACAGAAGTTTAGAATTTCACTATCAGATTTTGTGTGTATTTTGAATTTGTTCTTAGGAGGGCGAAAAATACGTGAGATTCCGTTCTCCTAGGGGTAGATTCATCGTGCGCCAATTTGAATTAAATAAATGCACCGGAGTAAGTGTCGATAACCAACCCCCAGCCATCACCCACTTTCGGGTGTAAAACTAATTCTGGGATACCCTGTATAATTTTCTATATTCTGGTCCTATTCCAATTTCGCATACAACAACGAAGTGTGCCACCGAGCAAATCATTATTCAATCCTTTTCCTAGCAAACGCTAAGTAATAATTACATGTCGGTTATGCTGGATTTTTCTACTGAAGGATGTGATAGTTATAAAACACTTGATATACGTAACTATTACGTTGCTTGGGAGAAAATTGTTAAATGGCTGATAGGCGTCTGTTAGCTCAAATGTTACTGGAGTGAAATTGCGACATGCGATTTCCATCGTTCATTGATTTTTTCTTTTTACGGGTGTATACGGTAAAAATGCTTTCTCAAGTTATCATTGAACTTTGGTTCGGTTATTTCCCTCTAGGGGGTTACTTCGGTTCAACGAATACGTAAAACCAAGGATCGCAATAAGCTGTCATTACCTGTATCGCATGGAACACCTGTTGAGTTTTCAATAGGAGACGGCTATAACCCCTCATTATTTAGTCAGATTGGACTCGGGCTAGACGTGAGCCTATATGCTCGTCATTTATTACTTAAAAAAATTGATCGGACGGAGGGATGCTTTGCCTCACTCGACGTGCCTCTGTCGACCAATCGGATCGCAGACATACTTTTCTTCGGTGGTAGGGAACGACTCATCCGTTAGTTTCCATCGAGCCGTTGAATTGCCATAAGCTTCCGAAATATAAAAGTTCGGTTTAATTGAATCCCGGTAGTCGATCCGTAATGTTTAATTGTAAAATTAACGAAATAGTGATATTTTTGAATTTGTTACAATTAAATTAAATTAAATTAAATTAAATTTAAATTAAATTAAAATTGTTAATTTTGTTTAAAAGATTTCTTCTAATCTTAATAAAAAGTTTTGAAAAGTGATCTCCAAGCGTCGGATTTCGAGATTAACCGTATCGTGCAACATCCGCCAATTTTACCTAACTTCAAAATGGATATTTCTGAAGCCGAGAAAGTTTTAACATGGAACAAGTGGTTGCTCGATTTTCTTGGAATCTGGCCTACCAACAAAAATAATACTAAATTCTATTTTTTCTTTACTTTCATAACAGTTCAATGCTGCTTACAGTACGCTGATTTAATAGAATATATCGATGACTTCGAATATGTTCTCGTAAATTTAACTGAAAGTATTGTGTTTACCATGATACTTCTCAAGATTGTTCAATATAAAATTAATACGGGACGACTGATTGAATTAATACGTGACATTAGGACGGATTATTCAAAAGAACTGTACCGCACAGAAGAAGAAATGGCTATTTTCATACGGTATAATTCATTTTCAAAAATAATTCTATATTGCTTATCAATATCAGGAGTGATTACCAGTAGCCTCTACTATATTCGGCCATTGTCCAGCTACCTGTTGGCTCACAATGATCGTAAGCATTGTTAATTTAGCACAGAAAAAATATTTAAAATGTTATTTATAGTTTTTGTATCACTTACAGCCACAGGAAACTCATCCAGTTCCTTCATCTTGCCATATCACGTCCGGTTATTCTTCGATTTGACGGAAGTGCCAACGTATTACGCCATATATGCCTGTGAAATATGGGTCATCCCGATGGTTGTGTGCGGATTTATGGGCACCGATTGTTTACTGATAACTCTGGTGCTGCATGTTTGTGGACAATTTTCAATTTTAACAATCCAAGTGGAAAATTTAACGCACGATCCACGAGAACTGCATGATGAGCTCAAACGTATCGTTATAAAACATCGTCGCTTGATAAGGTAAATTTTCAAAGACGTTTTTTTTTTTAATTTCACTGTGATAGTTAATACGAAGAATTGAGGTAAACATTTTTTTAGACTCTTTGCTAATTTGCATTCTGCTTATTCTACATTTCTACTGCAAGAACTCGTTGGTATCACTTTACTTACGTGCTTAGGCAGCTACAACGTTATCGTGGTACTACATCAACATTGAGTATTGATAAAGACATCATAAATTAAGAGAGAAGATCAATATTATTTATTATATTTCAGACTCCTATTCTGAAAGAAACTACATATTTTTTGATATTTGTATTTTACATTATTAGCATAATTTCTCAGCTTTATGGTTTCTGCTATATAGGAGAATGTCTAATAATTGAGGTATTTGATTCACGATGTTTTAAATTAACGCTATGTAATTAATAATATTGTCATTCGGAATATTAATATTCTGTCAAGAGTGAATGTTTGTGTCACGCATTTTACAATTCTGAATGGTACAATGCGCCACCACATCATGGAAAATTTATTCTGATGTGCATATTACGCTCCCAAAGGCCTCTCGCATTGACTGCAGGAAACATATTTACATTCTCTTTGGAAAGTTTCACGCATGTACGTCAAAAATTATTTATTAATTTTGATTCAAAGCATGTTCTGTTATCGGTTATTCATCGAAACTCTTTCGCATTAACAGGTTTTAAAAACATCAATGGCTTACCTATCAGTTATACGAAACTGCTTATAAATGGATCTCAAGAGATTTCAGGAAGTAGGACTTGCCTTTTTGAAATTTAAAATATGTATTAAATTTAATTATACAAACTTTTATCATCAAAAAGCTAAAGACTCTCCTTATAGACAGTGTTCTTTGATTTTTCCAGGTTATAACCCTATCTACATACATAACTGAATGTCCTTTCGAGTGGTTTAGACGGCACAGTTTAAAAAAGTGCCTCAATATTACTGACCAGTACTTTAATTCATTTAGGAAACTGCCAGAAAATTTCTGCTGTCGTTACAATTGTATTACACTAGTCTGTGATATTCTGTCAGTTGTGATATTGATTTACTGTACTACCCTTTCGTAACACGGCCCAAATTCTTGCACAATGTTCACCAATATTCTCTACCAAAAGATTCACGCACTTTGAACCCTCACGATACACTTTCAAAATTACTCATCTCCAAACTGCAGCCTACGTAGTCGGTCACTCGTTCAGAAGAGGAAAGTGATCTCGGTCGTGTGCGTCTCCATTGGTCCGCTCTGAGGCTAAATGTGCTACTTTTGCAACACATTAATTGGATCTGTTACTAACTCCGATTTAAAAGGGCACTGAAGTACGCAAGTACGCTGTATGCGTTCTTATCAAAAGGGTAACGTATTTCCTTAACCCGACACCGATAACGTAAAACCGAGAACTAACCTACGTCACCTTCGGCCATCCATCCTTCGTTCATGCATCCGCATGCCAGGCGGGCAGCAGCCAATTCTTGTTCCACTGGGAACTGACGAGCCGGTATGACCTGGGAGTTGAGGTAGAGCAGTCTCGACTCCGTCTAAACGGGAGCTCTGACGAAGCCTCTCAGAAGAGACGATAGCTTAACGGATCCTGTCGGTTTTCGGGGACGCGTAAAATCAGCAAAACGTAACTGGATGCACCAACGGAAGCGAACGGTTACGGAAATGCACGGCCGCTCAGGCTGCTTGGTTGACGTAGCGAGTGCCGGAGTAAGCGTCAGGTAAATAGTACCGGAAACAGAAAGCGATTGACCGAGAACCTAGCAGAACGAATCAGAAATGTAAAATCGAAATTCCTTGACTAATTCATAAATTGTGAATCCTCACGAAAGGGTGGTGCAGTTTTCGCAAGGTAGTGAATCGAAGGGAACCAGAAAGCAAGAACGTTATCTGAATCGGTAGCTGGGGTCGTCTTGCGGCCGTGAGTCGAAAAATGACGTCACAGAACGTACCTGTCACACGATGCTATGATACAATTTGTCACATGCACTTGCTATAATTGGTTGTATTTTTTTCGATTCCTACGCCTACAGAATATATACGTGAGTCACTGAAGTGTCGTTGAACTTCGATCAGGCCATTTCCCTCCCAAGAGTTATTTTTATTCAACGAGCCGTGAACCGAAGGATCGGAACGAGGGTATCATTTTCTTTATAGCGCGGAAATCTTGTTGAATTTTCGATAGGGGATTCTTTGTCTTGAGTCACCAGCCCTCATTACGTAGTCAGATAATGGATGGTCTAGACGCTAGCTTGCATGCTGGTCATTCAATATTCAATACTAAAGAAAATTGACTAGTCGCCGGGGTGGCTGATTTCCCTACGTGTATCTTGCGAACCAATCAGAGTAAAGATGTAGTTCACTTCGGGAGTATCAAAAGATTTCCTTATCAGTTTCCATCGAGCGATCCGACTAAACTAATCCTGAGAAGAGTAGAAGTTTTGATTCGCATCTCCAAGTATTTGACTGATAAAATTTCATTGAACAAGTTACAACTGAATGTGACAAATATCATTTCTATTTGAATCGTGTTATATTGCCCGTGAAAATATATTCTGCCAGTCTTGCTCTGTGACTCCGAACTCATTGTGAGGCATAAAATTTAAAAGTTTACTGCGTTAGTTAGGTCCAGTGATATCGGCTGATTTTACTTAAATTCAAAATGGACATATCCGACGCCACGAAAGTGTTAAAATGGAACAAACGATTGCTCGACGTTCTAGGGCTGTGGCCTTTGAACTTAAATGAAGTCAAATTCTCTTTTTTCTTTATTTACATAACAGTTCAGTGTTTTTTACAGTATGCCGATTTAGCAGAATACATTTACGACTTTAACTATGTTGTCAGAAATTTAACAGAGACCATCGTTTTGAGTATGATTTTTCTCAAAATTTTTATATACAGAATTATTTCAAATGAGTTGCGCGAATTAATACAGTACATTCAAGAGGATTATTCGGAAATAGTTTACAGTACGGCTAATGAAATAAAAACTTTTCTGCAATATACCTTATTGTCAAAGAGAATTGTTCAGTGCTTATTAATAACATGTGGATTTACTACGGTGCTCTTTTACATGCAGCCATTAACTACTCAATTATTGGCATACAATGAGGGTAAGAAGCTCTGTATTAGCAATCAAAAATTACTGCCATAGTTTTATTTTTGTGTATTCAATTTAAATCTGCAGGAAATTCATCGACTTCCTTCATATTGCCATTTCACATTCGGTTATTCTTCGATGTAACGCAAGCGCGAATATATTACATTATATATGCCTGTGAGATATTCGTCGTCCCATTGGTTTTGTGTGGATTTATTGGTACCGATTGTCTATTGATAACGCTGGTGCTACACATTTGTGGGCAAATTTCGATTTTGACAATGCAAGTGGGAATTTTGTTGGACGATCCACGAAATCTGCGTGAAAAGCTCAAACGGATCGTCATAAGGCATTGTCGTCTGCTAAGGTAAAATTTATATTATTTTTTGTTATAGATATCACTGTATCGGATAACGAAAAATATGAAATATATATTTTCTAGACTCTTTGCAAATTTGCAGTCCGCGTATTCTGCATTCCTACTGCAAGAACTTTTTGGTATAACTTTTCTAATGTGCTTAGGAAGTTACAATGTTATCGCGGTATTGCATCCTTATTTAATCTTAATTTTTTTTTTTAACTAAATAAGTGGAGATTGCTATTGGGTTTTATTTTATTTCAGACTTCTGCCGTGACAGACAGCTCAAATTTTATAAGATTCTTATTTTATATTCTTACTCTAATATTTCAACTTTTTGGTATGTGCTATATAGGGGAATGCGTTACGACTGAGGTACTTTTCCTATCATAACATCAATTAACTTTTTGTAATTGCTAATTTCATATTTTTTATTATTGTCATTCTTTTAAGAGCTCATGCTTGTGCAACGCATTTTACAATTGTGAATGGTACAACATATCACCAGATCATGCAAAATCTTTCCTGATGTGCATATTACGATCGCAAAAGCCTCTCACATTAACTGCTGGAAATTTCTTTACATTCTCCTTGGTAAATTTCACAAGTGTAAGTTAAAGATCGCTTATTAATTTTGATCTTAGACATTTCTTTATAATAAATCATCCAGCGAAACTCTTTCGTATTCACAGGTCGTAAGAACGTCCATCGGTTATTTATCAGTGATGCGAAAATTTTTATAGATGGTTTAAGATATATCGTGGAACAAGACTTAATTTTAAGAGCTATAAGTTATTGAATGCACTAACATATGGTTTCGATACGTTTCTGTATTTTGTCGTGCATCATGACTGTAAGAAGAAAAGAAAGACTCACTCGACTCTTGATTTTCCATCACTCAACCATCTTTTCATTATTCGAAACCAACACACATGTCCAATCCCAATCGCACCTTATACCAAAGCATCTACATTCTTCGAAATATCCGTAATTCGCAGAATCAAACTGACTCCTAAAAAACGCATTCAGTCATTCAGTCATTTCCGGTACGAAAGGAATAGAACGTCACTTTGTTCAAATTACCTGAAGCGATTTCTGCGTCGGATAATGACATCTTGATCGTGTGCTCCTAAGCATTGTGTTCCTGTATGGTCTTCTGGACCCAGAGCTAGATATACAAATCCTCGGACACGTTAACCAGTAATTATTATTAATTATTCCAATTTAAAAGATGTTTGTATTAATATAGTGTAACCTTACACTCACGATACGGTTCTCCGGATAGCGCCAAAAAGGCGGGTTCGAGCCAGAATCGACTGTTAGGAATTTGGGAAAAATATCAGGCGAAACAAATGAAAGTGAGATTTTATTTTAAAAATTAAAGAATAAAAATATATTGTCTTACAACGGAATACAAGAAGGGTTAGTGCAGGTCCAGCCTAGAGAATGCTGGATGTTAGTAAGCGAAGAATAGATATAAACGTAAGCGGAAAGTAAGGATGATTAGAAATGAGATATACAAATGACAAGTGTTCGGAAAGTAAATTGTATAAATATGATTGTAAGAGACGGTTTGCTCGATTACATGAGTAGAAGTACCTCTAGAAATGATGGTCAAGTGGGACGGTTTGCCCGCTTGCCCGAGACGGTTTGCTCGATTACTTTACCAAAGGTAAGCTAGCTAGCTCGGGTGATAGAAACTCGAGTCGCGAAACGTCGCCGTTTATATACCCGTCAACGGTAGGCCAGGGGGCCTGAGAGGCGCGGAAGAATTGAGCGTCGCGATGCCTACGAATTGTTACTACTTGATATTTAAGGTTATTCGGGTTAGCGGGATCTTATTATCACAGCGATACGAATATCCTCGGATGTATAGGTTACAATAGTAACAAGTATGCATGGTTATAATAATCTGACTGTAGCAGCAGTATAGTAAAATTGTCACGTTCGCGTTCCATCGTTTATTGATTTTTCTTCATATTATGAGTGTATTGAATATAAGTAGGCACGTCTAAATGCGTAGTTGACCTTTGGTCGGATTATTCTACCCCAGAGAGAAGAGAATCGCTATAGGGTATTATTACCTATATAGCATAGTACACCTGTGGAGTTTTCAGTAGGAGGTGCTTTACCTCGTGCCACCCCTCATTAGGTAGTCAGATTGAGGATGGGCTGGACTCGAGCTTGTAGGCTGTTCATATATTACTCAAGAGAATTGATCAGTTGCAGGAGTGGCCGAATGGACTGGGTGTACGTATCTCTGTAGACCAATCAGAACGCAGAAGTAAACTTGCTTCAAGGGTAGAAAAAGATTTCACCATCAGTTTCTATCGAGCCTTCAAGCTGACCGAGAGTCTTTCGAAGAGAATAAGTTCTGATGTGCAAATCGAAATGCTTTATGTTTAAAGTGTCATTGGGGAATCGATACGTTAATGTGACAAATATCAGTTATGTTTAATTGGTGCAATTCATTGGAAAACATATCTTGCTCTTTACTGTGGTATTGGCAAAGGCCACTGAGTACACTGATTAGATGAAATGATATTGGGAAATCTTACGTAAATCAAAAATGGACATATCAGGTGCCACGATAGTTTTGAAGTGGAACGAATGGCTGCTTGACTTTTTGGGACTGTGGCCTTTAAATTTGAATAATGCCAAATTCTCTTTCTTTTTTATTTACATAATAATACAATGCTTCTTGCAGTATGCCGCCTTAGTAGACAATATTTTTGACTTGAGCTACGTTGTCGCGAATTTAACAGAAACCGTCGTCTTCTGCATGATAGTTTTAAAACTTGTTATATACAGAATCAATATGAAAAGATTGCATGAATTAATACGAATTATTAAAGAAGATTATTCACATGAGCTTTATAAAACAGCAAAGGAACGAATGATTTTTATGAAATATAATTCATTGTCAAGAATGATTGTTCAGTGCTTTTCGATACTGTGTGTGTGTGCTGCGGTGCTCTTCTATATTCAGCCATTGATTTGTTATTTATTAGCATACAGAGACTGTAAGATATGTTAAATTAACATTAAAAAATGGTTTTAACATTACTTTAATTAACTGCTGATCGATTTAAAGCCACAGGAAATTCATCGAGTGCCTTCGTATTGCCATATCATATTCGATTATTTTTTAATCTAACTGAAGCGAGAACGTATTATATTATATATGCTTGTGAGATATTGATTATTCCGATGTCTGCATGTGGATACGTTGGGCCTAGCTGTCTACTGATAACATTGGTGCTACATATTTGTGGACAATTATCCATTTTGGCTACTCAAGTGGAATGTATGACGTACGATCCAAAAACTATACAGCAGCAGCTCAAACAAATCGTCATAAAGCATAGTCACTTAATAAGGTAAAATTTGAATATTATTTTTTAAAAATTCCATTTACCTGAAAATAGAAAAATTTCTTAAACGTGACAATTTTTTTTGTGTATATTTTGCAGTCTCTGTGCTACTTTGAATTCCACGTATTCTATATTTTTATTACAAGAAGTCATTGGTATTACTGTTCTTCTGTGTCTAGGCAGTTACAATATTACTGTGGTAATTGGTCGTCACTGAGCATTAATCAAAGATACTTTGAGAGAAGAAAATCTGCATTATTTGTAAAATTTCAGAATCATGTCTTAGAGGAAACTGGCGAATTTTTGACATTTTCTTGTTATGTTTTTACTGTGTTTGTTCAACTTCTTGGTTTCTGTTATATGGGAGAATGCCTTGTAAATGAGGTATTCAAAAAGATATGTTTGTACGATACCTTATTTAATTATTAAATTCTAATTTTTTTTTTTTCGTCAAGAGCATAAACTTGTGCGATGCATTTTACAATTATGAATGGTATAATGCATCGGCAGTGCATAGAAAATTGCTTCTTATGTGTCTTATACGATCTCAGAGGCCTCTCGTATTAACAGCTGGAAAATTCTTCACGTTCTCCTTGGAAAATTTCACAAGCGTAACTCGAAATTTATTAATTAATTTTTCTCCGGTATTATTTTTTAATCAATTAGCTCTTCAAACTTTCTTATTCGCAGGTTATGAAAACATCAATGGTTTATTTGTCGGTACTTCAAAAATTCATATAAAACAGTCATGACAGATAATTGCTTATAGCAATAATTCTGAGTTTTCATTGTAGTGGGAACCTCCAAAAGTTTTTAGAAAATTTTATTATTCATAGTATATCCATGACTAAGGATGCGTTTACGAGGGACTAAGTTTCTATGAAATTTAATATAAGACAGATCTCTACGTCTCGTGTCTTATTCGTACATTGACTATGTACAATTCATACACTCTGCACAGTTAATAATCTCACGTAATATTTATTGTTTCACGGCAAAATATGCAATAAAACTTATAATTATTTTGTGAACTGCTCGGTGCATTGTCTCATTATGCCCAACCAATCAATCATATGTTAATAACCCTTCAACGATGCCTAATAGATACAGAGTACCTATTATTTATTTCAAAATATACTTATAATATTTATTTATCGTATTTTCAAGCACCAACGCATGCACGATTTGATTTCAAAATGGCACATGCAACAAATTTAAAAGCTTAGTAGGGTTTGCTCGTATCTAAAATTGCAGGCGAACCATTTGATCATTCATGAGCATCCATAGTCGGTTTATGAGTCCAATGTCCTTTTTTGATAGTTCGAAAGAATGCAGTCCTTAGCAAATTACACGTGGGTTTCCATAAAATCAAGTAAATGCATGGTAATGTAGAAAAATGAAATATATTTCAATGCAAAATCATGCACATGCATACTTTGTATAAAACAATTTATTAAAAACGATGTGTGATTTGCTAAATAATTCGTTTTCGATCTTTTAAAAAGAAAACACCTAATATGCACGAAGCATATGGTGTTTTGTAACGGGTCATTTCTGAGCGTCACGTTCTAAAATCTAAGTATTTTTCCCAGTCAATAAATTTTATACTTCGTTACACTCTATAGCCCGTATTCGTAACTCACTTTTAATGCTAATAGCGCGTTTTTAAATTTTGTCTCAGTGACTCTTAACTACTAGCGGCTCTGTTAGTGACTTTAAGAGGGAGTTGTGAATACCGACTTAAGTATATTCTTTAATTCTTCAATCGTAATAATTTGATTTTGTGTTCCATGATAAAGTGTCCCCCACTTTGTTAAAAGACTTGTTCTATACTACTACAATATCATACAGTTGTCATATGCGTTTCCGATCGTTCATTGATTTCTTTTATCATCACGGATGTAGGGCACAGATGTATTCCAATGATATCGTTGAACTTTGACCGGATGGTTTTCCTCCTGGGGGTCACTTCGGTTCAACGAATCGTAAAATCGAGGTTCGCAATAAGGGTATCATTAGCTATGCGGCATGGTACACCTGTAGAATTTTTAACAGGGGATACTTAGCTTCGAGCGACCCTTCGTTAGCTAGTCATATTGGGGGCGGGCTAGCCGTGAGCTTGCATGCTGCTCATATACTACTTAAGAAAATCGATTACTCGTAGGGGTGGCCGACCTGCCTAGGCGTATCTGGCGAACCAATCAGCGCGAAGACGTAGTTTACTTGGGGGGGTAGAAAAAGAATCCCCTATCAGTTTCCATTGACCCTTCAAACCAGTATAGTCTTTGCATGGAGATAAGTTCAGATTTGTAAATTCAAATGCTTGACTTGTAGAGACTGACTGGAGAGTTGGCATGTGAATGTGACAAATATCGGTTCAATTCGACTGGTTGTATTTCTCGTGAAAAATATTCCACCAGTCTTATTATGTAATTCGTAAAAGCCATTTCGAAGCACGAGACTTTAACATTTATAAGGCTAATTTTATAAAGTGATTTTGACAAATTTTGCTTCTATTCAAAATGATAATACCCGGGGCCACAAAAGTTTTGCAGTGGAATCATTGGTTGCTCGGTTTCATAGGACTTTGGCCCTTTGATTTAAATAACAGCAAATTCATATTTTTCTTTGCTTACGCAATGGTTCACACTTTCTTACAGTATGGTGATTTGATAGAACACATTTCTGACTTGAACCATGTTGTCGCGAATTTAACAGAAACCATCATCATTAATATGCTTATTTTCAAAATGTCTATATACAGAATTAATACAAGACAACTGCGTGAATTAATCCAGAATATTGAGAAAGATTTTTCGACAGAACTTTATAATACAGCAGACGAAATGACCATTTTTTTGAAATATAACTCATTGTCAAGAACTATTGTTCAGTGCTTTTCAATAATGTGTTTGATTAGTCCGATCCTCTTCTACATTCATCCACTGCTAAGTCATTTATTAGCATACAACGATTGTAAGATCTGTTAATTAGAATTAAAAGTGATGTTAACATTATTATTATTCTTTGCTCAATTTAAAGCCATGGGAAATTCATCAATTGCCTTCGTATTCCCAATTCATTTTCGATTATTCTTCAACCTGACTGAGGAGAGAACATATTACATTATATATGCTTGTGAAATATTGCTTGTTCCTACGTGTACATGCGGATATAATGGTCCTATTTGTCTAATGATAACACTGGTGCTACATACTTGTGGACAGATTTCTATTTTGGCAAGTCAAGTGAAAAGTATGATACACGATCCAAAAGCTGTACACCAACAGCTTAAACAAATCGTCATAAAGCATCGTCGTGTGATAAGGTAAAATTTGTATTATTTTTTTTATTATAGATATCACTGTTACATATAACAAAGGAGATAAATTATATATTTTTTAGTCTCGTTGCAAATTTGCAGTCCGCGTATTCTGCAATCCTACTGCCAGAAGTTTCTGGTATGACTTTTGTAATTTGCTTAGGCAGTTACAACGTTATCACGGTATTACATCCTTAATTAATATTATTATTTTTAACTGTAAATAAATACAGATCACTATTGGTTATTATTTTATTTCAGACTTCTGCCGTGACAGACAGCTCAAAATTCTTGAAATTCTTATTTTATATTCTTACCCTAACTTTTCAACTTTTTAGCCTGTGCTACATAGGAGAATGTCTTATAACTGAGGTACGATTCCCATTAGATCGCTAATTGACCTCTTGTAATTGTTAATTATTTAATTTTTAATTTTGTTATTCTCTTAAGAGCACAAACTTATACAACGCGTTTTGCAATTACGAATGGTACAACGTATCACCAGATCATGCAAAACTTCTCGTAATGTGCCTGTTACGATCGCAAAGGCCTCTCACACTAACTACTGGAAAATTCTTTACGTTTTCTTTAGAAAGTTTTAGAATTGTAAGTCAGATGACGATAATGAATTTTTGTCAGGGACTTCTGGTCGATAAATTTACTATTTAAACTTTCGTATCTGCAGGTTATGAAAACATCAATGGCTTATTTGTCGGTACTTCGAAAATTTATATAGAAAACTTGTGGCGCAAAATTGATTGTAAAAGTAAATTCAAACCTTATTAGCACTTAAAGTACGTCACAATTTTTAACGTTTTAACAAATTGTATTCGGTCCACGAGTTCAATGTGTCTCTTTGACAAATTTCAAGCAATGCTGTCCTTAGCAAACCACACGTAGTTCTCCATAAAATAATGTAAATATATGCTAAAATTAAAAAATAAAATATATTTAGTGCAAAATCACGTGTATGCATATTTTGTAACAAACATTTTATGCAGCGACACATGTTCCTTACTAGAGACCTTATTGTTTTCGATCTGTCAAAAACCACCTCGAGCTCGTGGACCGATAATATGTTTTATTGATTCGAAAGTTCCCTAATTCTCATATGTTACTCGCAACGAAACTATACACGTAGCATGCAATCCACACAGTCAATCATATGATTTGATATTTATTTTACCACAGAAAATTTGAACTGTAGATGCATCTCTGCGAAGTCTTTCATAAATCGTATGCATTAATTTACATCTGCCTGGACAATGTTATTATGCACAATTGATGGATTATGTGGTTTTAACTGTCCAGTGACGTCGAACTAATTAAGGGTTTCTACTATACAAGCTGAAGTATTTAAATCGAGACTGTCAGAGAACAAGGTTTTAGATGAAAGAATATTTGAGTCAAAAGTTGTATGGGTTTAAGGGGTCAATGAAATGGCCTACTTTGGTTAATGTCCTACATCAATAAAATTACAGTAGGCCATTCTATTGCCCCCTTAAACCCATACAACTTTTGACTCAAACATTCGTTCCACTAAGAACTTGTTCCTAAGTTATTTAAACAGTCTCGATTTGAATGCTTCACCCTGTACGTACTGCAATACACATCAATACCGTCAAGAGCCCATAATTGTATTACACATTTCACAATTATTATATATTGTGACGTTATTCATATATTGAATTACTTTAGACGTGCAAACGCGGTACAGAATAGGCACATAGAGGTTCTATGGCGAGGCTTGATAGTTTACGAAGCGTTTCCAAAAGTCGATGAACCGGTTTGTTTCAAGAATTTGTATTAATTCCCGATGTTAAAACATTTATTCATTTATTTAGGCAGACCAAAGAGGACTGCAAACGAACACTGTCAATTGTGGGCCCCTATCGTCTGGCGATGAGATGTGTATATTATTATGTGGATGACGTCATATATATCCATTATTGTTCCCGAGTCACCATCGGTTTGTATAAAAACTGCTCAATGTTAGATTCCATTTAGAGTAAATGAATTACCGTACTCGAGTTCCTTAAGACGTGGCGGTGACGACTTGGAGCTGGACCACGTGGGGGAAAGGCGAGTGAGATTCCTGCGTTACTATCATCTTGCCGCCACAATTGGAACATCGTTGGCCAAAGTAACAGATAATAAGTCGTATCAAGGATTCGCAGACACAGTTAGAGAATCCAGGAAATTCACAGAGCGGACCATTTCTTAAAATTTCAACATGTTCTACGCGACGTGAGTATGATGCCGAAGGCCTACTTGTGTTCAATGTTATGTACAGACGTTTAGAACTCACGTTATAAAATTTAGCGTGTGTCTTGAATTTTTTAGTGACAACGATAAATACATCTGATTCTCTTCTTCCAGGGATAGATTCATTTTTCGCATACTGGTTATACTGGTAAACATACGGTTCATACTGGTACAATAAAGCGAACATTATACGCAGGTCGTGAAGTTTGTCACACGCGCCGCACTCGTAAAAGAAGCAGCACTCGCCTTCGGCTCGTGTCGTTGTGTTACTCGTGTGCGGCTGGTGCGACCAACTTCACCGCCTGCCTATAAAGTTCGCTTTCTCGCACTCGTATCGCAAAGTACTATAATCTAATTATTTGTACGATGACAAAGTGTCCCTCTTTGTCAAATAGCTGTTACATGTTATTACAGTGAAATGATGACATACGTTTCACCCATCGTGCATTAATTTTTCTCCTCATTACAAGTGCATAGAACATAAATGCCACGTAAAGGTATCATTGAATTTCGACTGAATAGTTTCCCTCCAGTCGCTTCGGAGGGATGAATCATAAAACCGAGGATTTCAATAAGGTATCATTATCTACATAGCATGATACACGTGTGGAATTTTAAATAAAGGTTAATTCACATGAAGCAACCCCTTATTACGTCTTCAGATTTAGGGTGAGCTGGACGTGAGGTTTCGGGATACTTATTTATTACATATGAAAATTGCATAGTTCCAGTGGTGGTCTACCAATCAACGCATATTTCGTGGATCAAAGCAAAGACCTAGTTTATTTTAGGAACTGGAAAAAAATTTACCCGTCAGTTTGCATCGGGTTTTCTGACTAACGTCTCTTCTGAAACAAGTTCTGATTTGCAATTTCAAATATTTGACGAGACAATATGTCAATGTGACAAGTGCAGATTCTATTCGATTTGTTGTGTTTGGTGAAAAATATTCTATCAGTCTCACTGTGTAATTCATGAAATCTCATTTGAGACACGAGACTTTATCGACTGATTTCACTTTAACATCAATTGATATTGATAATTTTTACGGGCATTCAAAATGGATATTTCCGGGGCCACGAAAGTTTTACAGTGGAATAATCGGTTACTCCGTTTCCTAGGACTTTGGCCCTTTGACCTAAATAACGTAAAATTCATGTTTTTCTTTACCTACGTGACAGTTCAGTGTTTCTTGCAGTATGCCGGCTTACTGGAATATATTTCCGACCTGAATTATGTTGTCGCAAATTTAACAGAAACCATTGTGTTCAGTATGATTGTTTTTAAAATGGCTATATACAGAATTAATACGAGACCATTGCTTCATTTGATACAGAATATTCAGGAAGATTACTCAAATGAATTGTACAAAACAAGAAAAGAAATTCGAATATTTTTGAAATATAACTCATTGTCAAAGACTATTGTTCAGTGTATATCCATAGTGTGCGGAGCTACTGCTGTACTCTTTTACATTCGTCCATTGACTGGACACGCATTGGCAGACAATGATTGTAAGAATTTTAAATCCACGTTAACCCTTAACGGTCACGTGGGGTCTCAGTGACCCCAACGTAACGACCTATTCTTATGGAAATTCTACTGAAGTGTGACCGTCAAAGGTTAATAAACAGCGCTGACATTTTTATCACTAATTGCTCATTTTAAAGCCACAGGAAATTCTTCAAGTGCCTTCTTGATGCCATATCATATCCGATTGTTCTTTAACCTGACTGAAGCAAGAACATATTACATAGTATATGCTTGTGAAATATTTATGATTCCGCTGGTCACATGCGGATATGCTGGTCCTAGTTGTCTATTGATAACATTGGTGCTACATATCTGTGGACAAGTTTCAATTTTGACATGTCAAGTGGAAAACTTGATAAAAAATCCAGAAACTATACATCACCAGCTGAAACAAATTGTTTTAAAGCATCGTCGTTTGATAAAGTAATATGTCAATAGTAATTTTTACATCTCATTTTCCTGATGAAAAGATACAGGTTTGTCACGCTAATTTTGCTATGAATGTTTTTTTCAGTCTCTGCATGAATTTAAATTCCACGTATGCTACATTCTTACTGCAGGAACTCATTGGTATTACTTTGCTTCTGTGCTTAGGCGGTTATAACATTATTGCGGTAATATTACACGATTACAGAATGATTAATTAGAAGCACTATGATAGTGATAAATGATAATAAAATAATTATTATTTCTTGCATTGCAGACTCCTATCTTAGATGAAACTGGACATTTTTTGGCATTCTTATTATACACTGTTACAGTGATCTTTCAACTTCTTGGTTTTTGTTACATCGGCGAATGTCTTAGGAATGAGGTATTTCTCTGAAAAATATGTAACGTGCATTAAGATGATACTTAATTCAATTGTTAGTTTATAATTCTTAATGTGATATATTTTCTCAAGAGCAAAAGCTTGTGCGATGCATTTTACAATTATGAATGGTACGACGAACCGAGGGTGAACGTAAAATTATTTCTCATGTGCGTCACTCGATCGCAAAGGCCTCTCGTATTAACTGCTGGAGAGTTCTTCATATTTTCCTTGGAAAATTTCACGAGTGTAAGTCGTAAGGCGTTATAATTAATTTTGATTAACGAATTACTTCCAATCAGTTTAATCCCTCCGATCTTTCGTGTTTCCAGGTTATGAAAACATCGATGGCCTATTTGTCCGTACTTCGAAAGTTCATATAGAACATTCATCACGTATTTAGACAAAATTTTGATAGTCAATGGCAATAAATGTGAATGCACTTGAATAAGTCCATGATTTTAAAGAAAGTTTATAGTATCCAGGCATAGCTCGTGCACGACTAAAATCTCTTTCTGAGACTATCTTTCTGCGATATTCAACATAAGCCTAGATGTGATATTTTACTCGTGGATCGACCACATATTCAGAATGCAAATTCGCACGCTTAATTACTCGTTGTTGCACGAGAAATACAAAATATAATTTAATCTCGTGAAATAATTTCAATAATAATATTACGCTGCAATTACACGCTCTATCTCGTTATGCATAATCATATGTCTTTATTCCGCCAGTGTTGTCTACTTGATTTAGAGCCTATGTCATTAATTCGAAAGTGCACTTCCACAATTTGTCCATTCGGTCACTTTTACAGTAACATTTCTAACAATTACTTTACCAGCCTTAACGTCAGCACTGATATTACAAAAATTGATTTTACCACCGAAGAATTATATCCATACGTTTTCACAACACGTATACAGTAGTCTCTCATTAAGTGACCGTTTTTTCCAGGCTGTTGGGAAAGGCGATTTGAAAAAAGAACGCTTACTTAACAAGAACCCGCACTCTTTAAAAGTTTTTTTTTAGCAGAATTCGTTGTCCTTACTTGTTTTCAAACACGCAGTCGTTCCGCCCTTGTACACCGGTACGCTTGGTAGTTGACAGTGGGGATAAATTCCGAATACTCCAAAATGCAAGAGACGCAAAGAATCGGAGGAGAAGCGTTCAGTTATCAAGCTTTCAATAACTGGAAGTCTACAGTACATTACTGGAAGAAGGTACATATATGTGTATATTTAAATGATTTACAGTATATCTGTTTCTAGTATCTAATAGTGAATACGTTTTCTTTAGAGAAATTTATAATTTTTAATTATACCATTGTATTTAGAGCACGAGCTTTCTTGATAAATTTTACAATTGCAAATAATAGAATCTACCGTCAGTGTATATGAAATTTATTTTGTTTACATGTCACGAGCACAAACGGCTCCGATATTAACAGCCGGAAGACTTTATGCATTTTCATTAAATAGCTTCGTTGATATGAGCTGTGCTGTCTCGATTCAGTATTTCGTATTCGCATTCTTTCGTATATTAATCCACAATAATTATGTTTCTAATGTTATGGAAATTCTATTATTCCAAGATGATAAAAACTTCTATGGTATCAATCTTGCGAAAATTTCTGTAGAGGAAATTCTACAAGTATGAGATTATTCAGGATAAGTCTATGACTGATAATTCATTTAGTGACGGTAAAAATGCATAAAATGTATAGCTTGGATAAAACAATATGATTGTCACATGACAAATGCATCGGGCTTTATTTTAAGCCGAAGTAAAAATCTCTATCCTATTTTCCTATTATACACGTCTGTACTTACTGGACTGTATAATTTCAGTCTGACGAGAATAATTGAATAGGATAGTTTACATGATTGGATCTCATTATATGTACCAACCTATCATTATCTATAGTCTATCGATCATACGTCAAGCTTCCTCGGATCAGTAGCTTGAGAATCATCTGTCGTGAAACATTCAACCATGCAAGTACTAGTAGTTGCATAAATATATCACATACAGCAAATTTATAAAGCTAGAAACTAGTGTATTTTCGTGAAAAAAAAAATTGTTTTTAGGTAGACTGCTCTTTTCATCTTGAAAAACTTCTAACTTGGAACAAACACATTTTTAGACTTATCGGACTCTGGCCTACGGAACAAACTGACCGTATTTTACTCGTGTTCTTGATATATTTGTTCTGTCATTGCTGTTTACAATATGCCGATCTTTTTATGCATATTAATGATCTGGTACACGTGGTTGCTAATCTGACCGAGAGTGCAATAATGACGATGATTTTCTGTAAAACAATTTCGTATCGCCTGAACTCGAAGAAATTGAGTAAACTTTTAAATACTATTGAAGAAGACTACGCTGAACAGAAATTAATCATGTCGGATGAGAAGTTGGGATTTATCAAATATCATGCTGTATCATGTAAATTTGTTAAAGGTTCCGTGTACGTGGTTTTCATATCATCTGTTTTTTACTATCTGAAACCATTGTGCCAATTTACATCGATAAGCAACCATCTCATTTTTAGAATTTGTTTACCGATTGTTTTAGTGTTTTTAAAAAAAGAAATTCCAAAAATCACTCTTGTTTTTCGAATAACCTCCTATAGTCATTCCCTCTTAATAATTTTTATATCATCTTCCATATGTTTATACATTGAAATTCTCATTTTCTTAGGTAATCAAAAGTTCTGCAGCTTATCTATCGGTATTGCGAAAATTCATATAAAAATATCAAGCTACGCAACGACTTTAGTATTAACCTGGTTATTTCACTATACTTCATTACCAGAAGTAGCATGTAAACTATACAATTTTACATGCCTAACTTGTTGACAGTAATGTCCCGTTATTATACGTTCTTGAAAGTCATAGATGTATGCTGTAAGTATAATCTATCTTCGATCGCGCACTGTTTCTACATGCTATACAATTTTTTTTCCGGTTTGCCCTATTTGACAAGAAAAGCAACGGATTCAATGCCGATTAATTATTCTTATGCCATATCCGCCCAGACTTCTTAATTCCGGGAGTGCTGGCTTAGAAAAGCCCTCATATGTTATACACATTGGTAAGCTAATATACTCCAATGTTCCCAATGCAGAATGCATAATTACTGATTCTAAGTAAAAACAATTGTAATTAATACCCTATGTAATTTACACGCATGACTTTCCACTCGATAGAAATTCAGCATGATAAATTTCTTTCGCTGGCAAGCTAAAGGCGCCTTAGCTTCTCAGTTTCCTCTGGGTCTTTGAACGGAAATGAGCATTTTCAATATCTAAATATCTAACAAGTAAAAGCCGTTAAGCGAAGAGCCGTTCGACGTATTGCTTCGCCAAAAATCAGTGACATCCGATGACTAAAACATATTTCGTCTTTAAAAAAAATAATATACAGAGGCTACTTATAATATACATATCGATTGATATGTTGCGTGATGTGGAAATATTAACGTGGAACAAATGGATATTCTCGTTGCTGGGACTGTAGCCATTTAAAAATAATGATTATTTATTTTCATTCGTTTTCATATATCTGCTAATTCACTGTTGCTTCGGATTTATTTAATTATCTAAGTACAGTTTCGACATTAAATACATAGTCGTCAGTATAAGAATTTTTGTGAAAATACAATCATTATTTTTTCTTCCCTGTTCTTTCTACCATAAAACTCAATTTGTCTTTAATGTCAATAATGCAACGACGTTTTCCAAACATATCTTAATTAAATAAACAGCAATTTAGGAAGCAGGAACTTGAGCATCGATGGAAATGTATGGATTGATTCGATATCAAATGGAATATTAAGATGTGGCCTAAATACTATTCATGGAACTTGATGCAATTTTTCAACAAATTACTATTATTATACGTCACCAAGCTAGTGGTATATGGATATTTATAATCTGTTATGCACGTAAGTATGACCGATCATTGTAATTTAGGTATTGGCATATTCGATAACAATCATTTTTACTTTGATTAACGTCAAATTTTCCAAGTGCATAATTGCAAAGTTCATGATTCAATTAGAAGCAATTCATTGTTCATTTATTTAATATATTGATATTAATAGATGAATGGCATTACAGATTGTCTAAATAATAATGTTGAGCAATATCATTGTGTTTATGAGCATTAAAAAAGATATAACTTAATTATCTGTTTTTCTCACTTTTCTAATGATTAGACTTTCTTATTCATATGTCCGACTGAATGCACGTAACGAACCATTTCTCGGAAACAATAGTAATACATGATAATAATATATTCCAAAAAATCCGCGTGTGTAAATTAAGTCAAGAGAATTAAAGTAAAGCTTATAAAATCATGATACAAATAAATCAGGAGACAGCATTATTATGAGTTTAGAACCAGCAAGGGAGCAAATAAAAAATTTAAATTTTGTAAAAATGTGATATCTTATCAAATTGAAATTGACATTGCACTTTCAGTATTGTGAGCCTGATAGCGACTTCGTTAACTTACTAATATTACACGAAGGACACGTACAATGACGCTCTGACCATTCAAAGTGGAATGTCAAATTCACCTTGAATAAAAATGTAATTCATGTTTTTTGTTAATAATTGCTGGATTTAAGCCTATAAGAAATGTATCCTATCTACATTACACCGTACCGTATCGCTTGATCCTTACAGTTGATGCAATTTGTTGAATTTTTTGGAATACATCGATTCTTAATTATCTTGGCATTGGATGTATGTATTTAACTTCGAGTTTCGATTCATTAAATGTTTCCATAGATAAAACTCATGACTGTGAACGAAAAAAATCATCAAATTAATACGTAATCAAAGTAGAATTGTTGAAATTTAATATTATTGACATATAAAATAAAATTTAATTGTAATTGTCCTTATATCGTCAATTCTTCTTATTTTTATTACTAAACACGTCAAAATATTTCAAAACATATGGATACTATATCCAATCGTGTTCTGCTTGAACATATTTTCTATATCATTGTCAAATGCTTTTATCTATTGTCCTTATTTGTAATAATTATCAATCAGAGTATTTACAAAGATGGCTTGGTGGATCAGTGCGTAGAGTTTTCAAACTCCTCACTTTGAGCATCCCAACCATCATGTTTTTATCTTATTGTCTCATGATCAAATATATCCACCAATACGAATTCGCGTCATTTCACATATTTTTCGTAATGCAATTTTGTCATTACGATAAATAAATAGTGGATTTTCTTTAAGATTGCGTTGCACGTAATTTATCAATATTATACAGATACATTCATAACGTCCAGATATAAATTATAACGTTGTACAGAAAACCTTATCAATATGTTGTAGTGTTATCGTGTTGTACGATTGTATAACTACTATGTGCAATTATATGAACGCATGTTAATAACTCTGTGATTATTACCTTAGCGGTTTAGCATATGTACTTCATCCATTTGTCGCAGTTGGTATAATTATGTCACATCATTATTTCTTAGTAGCACGAAATTTAATGTGAAATGTGAAAATTGAGTGCTTGTACGAAGTGACTGTGCAATTGTTATGATATATTTATTAATATGTCTGTATACGACGAGCCGTACCCCAAGCATTAAAAATTAATTGTGCAACCGATGTTTCACAAGGCGTGTCCAAGGAGAAATATCATATGAAAGTGTCGTGTGCATTGTATCTCTAGAATAGCAAAACCACAAATGACGCCATACGCTTGAACCACTGGTACGTCTAATAAAAAATAATGTGTCATGAATAAATTCTTTTGAGCAATTCAGATCGCTTTGCGGACAAACTAAATCACGATAATGGTCGTATCGCAAGCATAAGATATAAGAATAAGATCGATCGTCCGTATTTCATATATGAAAGGAAGAAATGCATATGTAATGCAAACATTAATTTTCAAATAAAGGTGGTCGGTACGTCCTAGCAATTTTCTAGAGACAATAACTACAGCGCGATCGATCTGAGAACTTTTGAATTAGTCTCCAAGAAAATTTCCTACAGAAAGAACAAACATCGTAATGAATGTAAGAGTGGAGAGGAATCGCTTCAGTTATCATCCAGAGATTTGTTGAATTTATCCAAACGTGAAATATAATGATGTGCAAGTTTGACTTTTGACATAAATTTATTTGAAGTCCATTAATATGATATTCAAATTTCTTTCTACACTTTAACACGCAACTAACGATGTCTTTAGGATTTTGAAATATCTGAAATCAATAATAGGGTATTTCGAAATTAGAAAACCTAATGATAAACTCTGATTCATTATTTAGGTCTGATTCATTAATTGAAATTTTGGAATTCTTTTTTTTTAAATCATCATTGTTAACCATGTATATTTTTTTAAAGTACTTGCCATTTCGTACTATGTTTTGTTACTTCATTTTTCATTAATCATCACGCATCGATTCATAACGATAATCGCGATACGAAATTGAATTTGATTTTACGAAAAACAGAAATCTTATTTATTTCAGGATAATAACGATATACCTAAAATCGTTTTTAAATGGAACAAACTATTTCTGTCTATTGGTGGAAACTGGCCCCTAGAACCAGCCTATTTCAGATTCTCCATATGGATGTCATTCTTTACCTTGAATATCAGCCTCCTGTATGTGGATCTGTATGAAGTTTTCGGCAATTTGGAACAAATGCTGTTAAATCTCTCAGACAGCGTGATACAAAGCTTGATACTTGCGAAGCTGCTGCTCTTTCGATTCAGCGAACCACTGGCACGTTTGATCACTGACGCCCAAGAAGATATCACAGCCGGAGAGTTTGGGAGTCTGGAAGAGAAAAAATGCTTTCTGGAATATTATCAGCGAGGCAAAATTTTCTATCAAATAACAATGTCATGTGTGGTGTTCGCTGTTCACGTATACTTCTTCAAAGGATTAGAAACATATCTATTCTCAGGTAAAATTATACGTATATTAAAGACATAATGACGTGTGTCGTGTCCCACGAAGTTAAATAATTTTATAAATATTTTCACTAGTGTGGAACAACGAAACGACAACTTCTTTTGTTCTTCCGTACAGAACAAAATTATTTTTCAATTTGACAAGTCCTAATACTTACATAATTCTGTATATACTTGAATATCCAATGGTTTATATTATTGCATGTCAGGGGGCAACTATTTGCTTACTGGTCACTCTTATATTTCACGTTTGTGGTCAGTTAGCTATTGTATCATATAAAATCCAACATTTAAGAGGAAATTTACCTGAGCATGAAAATCGAATTATTAAAAGTTTAATCGAGAAACATGTTAAATACGTTAGGTAAGATGATAGTTAATTGCAAAATATGAGAATAACAAATAATGGTATCCCATTTGACTTTGACAGGATGGCTAGATCTTTGGACGATACTTTTCAATTCGTTTTGCTTTTAGAAGTAGCAGGAACTACAGTTATTCTCGGCCTCACTTGCTATAACATTATAGCGGTATGCGTCTTTCATTATAAAAATTGTTTATTATTCTTCAAGAATCATGATTTGCATTATATATTTTACATCAACGTTTACCTCCATAAATTGTATAACATTTTTAAATGGTGCAGGCAATTTTTTGCCTGTTTTTACATTTGCTTTTCTTTGAAACCAACATACTGTTAATCTTAAATCTCCCTTTTTTTACTTCATTCGAGTTACCCTATAAGCAGCTTGTATAATTATTTTTAGAATAGTGGTGATTTAGCTGACATATCAACATTATGCTGCTTTGCGCTGTATGCATCTTCTATGATCTTATTGCTTTACGGATATTGCTTCGTTGGCGAATGTCTGATACACGAGGTAAAAAATGTCAAACGTTGTATGATTATTCTATGACAATAACCGAATTATTATACATAGAGTACAAAGATACACGAAGCGTGTGCTCAATGCACATGGTATAGTATGCCACTGATCTACCAAAAAGCTTTAATAATGTGCATGTTATGTGCACAAAGGCCTTTACAATTGACAGCTGCGAAATTTTACGTATTTTCTTTAGACAGCTTCAGCAATGTGAGTCGTCCTTGGAAATTTTGTTGGAATTTCCACGAAATGCATTTTCATTTTGTACAATTATTGAATTTTTATTTTCCAGGTCATTAAAACATCCATCGCTTATGTATCCATGTTACGTACTGTCGTATAATTGATGAAAATGCATAGAGAAAAGTGTACAAAACATAATTTAAAAATAGATGTGAAATGATGCGAATGGGCAATTTTCAATCAATTTGTTTCTTCAAATATAGCGTTTTTCATTATCGCGTCTGAAAGCTATATCAAATTAAGGTTTCGTTCGGACAGTCACTATCTGTTTAGCGAAAGAAAAATTTTCTTCGAAACACACGTAAATCTCTGATACACTGTAACACTTATATTAATAATGGTAAAGACTTTATAAAAGCTTCTTAAATTTTTAATATCTAAATTTACCATCCGTTTTGTCTAATGAAATAAGTATCGTCGCTCAAGTAAACATTTGCAGTCTGATTGCAGTATATCAGGTACGTCTCGAATATGTCTGGCAATAATCTATCTATAATCATTCTCCTGGGACTGTCTCATACAACACAGACAAAACATATTTACTCTGTCATATAATTAGTCCACGTTTTTTGTCTCTCTCAATGTACTCTAATCCTTTATTAATTTCTAAACATTCAAATTAAGCTGTAGTATGAGATTTTAGGCTTTCGCAGCCAATATTATTGTTAATACTCGTGGTTTCCGGATGCAGGCCGCGTCCATATTCATTTTTGTGCCGACGTTTCACAAACGTTTCAGTTTGCATCATCAGGGCTAGGAGACTCCGATATTGATCGGATCAGGGACCCTATTCTCGAAATCGTGTCACAATTGTGGCATGCCACTTTGAGTAGTTCCGGTTATAACTGTAATAGCGCTGGTAGGCAATTTTGAGTTGAAGTGGGACCGAGGCCCGTTTCCTTCGACGCGGTTCAATAGATAAGCTCCGTTTATCTTGAAAATACAAGTGTTTCATTGGCTAATAGCACAGTTAAACCGTGTTTATACATTGAACCGCGTCGAAGAAAACGGGCCTCAGTCCTATTTAATCTCAAAATTGCCTACCAGCGCCATCACGGTAATAACGGAAAGTACTCGAGTGGCATGCCACAATTATGGCACGATTTCGAGAATAGGGTCCCAGGGCTTCAGCCGTTTACAAACTGTTTAATTGATCAGCTGATCACCTACGAAACGTTTGCGAAACGTGGGCACAAAGCTGAACACGGACGCGGCTTCCATCCGGAAACCATGAGTATTAAGCTATAGTATATTATTTCTTTACGGTTTACCATAATTCTATCTTCCATGTGTCCAGCATTGTTTTGATAAAAAATAATATTTCACCATGCACGGAAATTTTATATGAAAAGGCACATATTCGCACTTATTACTTTTATCACAGTGCTACAAATTTCATCGAGCATTCACGAAAAATTGTGTTTCAAGACTTAAACGAAACTGCGTGTAAGTTTTATTAACTGTTTCAAGACTATCGAAGCCTTATGTTGCACGAACCAGGTTTCACAGTGCACTACGCCTCCACTGTTCAAGAGTTCATGATCGATGCAACTCATCGAACTATCCCCATTGGTCTTACTTCGTCACGCAATCGTACCGAACGATTCCACCGTATGAAATTTTAATAATTATCACAAAAGGATCACAGAATCGTATAACATATTTAATACTCGCTTCATCTAAATATTTACTCGAAGGTAATAATATAATTTGCATCTCTGTTCTACATATATCTATACACTCATATGACGTAACTTTGGTGTGGGACTACGCCAATGAATTAACGAAGATGTCGCATTAGTAAATGAACTTTCACATTGGAATTGTAAATTTTTTTAAAACATGTTCATTTACTGGTTCGATTACTTATGGATGCATTTGCTGGTCCATATACCTAACGTCACAATTTTTATACATGATCGACTACATCAATGATAAAATTATTACTGTGGTACCGATTAAAAGTAATAATCATGCATGCTAATCTGCAATTTGAAAAATTGCTTTGTTTATCTTTAATGTACAAGACTAGGACTTAATTCTGGAGAATAAGTGAAGATGGACGAAAATTCGTAATCTGTGCATGTAATAAAATTTGGGCGTATAACAGTCGTGATGTTCGTCGCTGGAACCATCATGTGTTAACTGGTGTCAAAATATAATACTTTGCATTGACAAATTATTCCTACCTCATCGAAATGGATTTTTAACACCGAGCACAAGTATGATATTCATTTTCTATTTTATACTATTGTTATAATATAATATATATATATAATAATTTATATAAATGTTGAAATCACCTTTCATTGTCAAATCAAATTTTGGTAAATATCACAATTAATTTGAATTGAAATAAATAACTCATTTCCATATCTTTGTATTGCCGTGTTGCCACAGTAATAAGATTTCAAATGATGATTTCCATGTTGTAGCCACACATCGCATAAAATCTGAAATGAGTACAGCACCTTTTTAAAGAATTTTCGTAAAAGTCACGTACGTGTAAATATTCGTGGATATCGCGTAGTTGTTATTTATAAGACTGGTTATATTTCTTACGTAAGAAAAGCGCACTTTCAGATCACTGACTATATTTTGTATTTGCAAATGGCACAATGAAAATATCAGTGAATCGTAGTGTCTCGATGATGTAAGATTGATTGGTGTAACTGCACTGCACATGTTTCGCTACACTGTACTGCAAGTTGCCTACCAAGTTTTCGCGTAATTTCAGTTTTGCTACCGCATGACATTTTTAGCATATAAAGGTATCATTACTCGCATTATCTATCGACCATCCACAGAAATTGCTTTCACTGGGAAAAGAGAAATATTATGCATGCAGCACCGCAGCCGGAGACAGTAGCAGGTGCATATGAAATATGCACATTAAATTCGAAAGGAAATTGTTTGCAATGCTTGGATTTTGATTGGACACTGGTAGCATCGTATGACCAATAGGAGGATTCTGACAATTTGTTTGCACCGTTGCAACTGGTTATTCTACAGTTTACCACGTAGTGAACTGGACACATAAAACAATTGCCTTTACGATGCACGTGAGTGTGAATTAGACTGACGTTAAATATTTGAAAATTGCACTTTGAATACTCCACGTGAATTAATTACTTTTCAATTAAATTAATTTTATTGTTATATTATTCTCGAGTTGTATATTAAAAGCTTTTTTTTTTAATTATTGTATATTACTAAACCACTAACTGTGCTAGAGAAATTATTTAATTAGGGACAAGATGACTTCGATCGCGCCGCAAATATTATGACCTGGAATCATTGGCTTCTCGCGATGCTCGGATTTTGGCCGGAAAAGCCCAGAGATATTTGGTTCTGGATAAACTTCGGTTATTTTGCGTATCACATGACAATGGAATACGTAGATCTATTTCTCTTTATCGGAAATCTCGAGCACGTAATCATGAACCTAACTGAGAACATGGCGTTCTCACAAATTTTTATCCGCATGCTCATGATGCGAGTATACAATCGTCAATTAGGAGAATTAATAATGGAAATGAGAAAGGATTTTCAAGCTCACAATTACAGATCCGTCGACGAGCAAAAAATATTTTTATCGTATAATTCAAAGTCTAAGACGTTTATGAAACTTTTAATGGCGTTTGTTGCACTAACCGCATCCTCGTATTACTTGAAGCCTATACTTGGAAATTTGGGAAATGGTCAGTAATGGACGTGCATAAGTAAACAGTGTAAATAACTGCTTAAATTTTTTGCATACTCTGGATAACGCAAAAAAAATATTTTTTTTTTATCACTCTTATAGATCCAATCGAAAGCGAAAGTACCAATTCAACGTTAACTTTTGAATTACCGTACCGTTTTTACTTACTGTACAATGTCAATGACACGCATACTTATATGATAACTTATCTTTCTCATCTTCCATTTGTCTTTGTGAGTGGTTTTGGTCAGAGCGCAGCAGATTGTCTGATGGTCACGCTGGTTTTTCATGTTTGCGGACAATTGTCTGTGCTCACGTTACGAATTAGCAGTATCAATAGCGACCCGTCACAATGTAGTCAGAATATAAAGGACGTCGTGGTGACTCATCAGAGACTTTTGCGGTGAGTTTGACTATTGGATAACCTAAAAACATAACCAGTGAATAAGTGAAGTTTGATTTATTATAGAATGGGACAAACCATAGACAAAGCTTTCAGTGCCATTTTATTAGGGCACCTTGTAGGTGCAACGTCTTTGGTTTGTGTGCTCGGATATCAAATTTTAACGGTATTACAAATTTTTGTATTATTTTATGTTATAATAATTTTTGATAACACTGAGCCATATTAATGCAGAATTTTGCACACGGACAAAATGCCGATCTTGCCACATTTTTAACTTTTGCATTTTTGGTTCTTCTTGTGCTTTATGCACATTGTACTGTTGGCGAGAGTCTCGTTCAAGAGGTATTGCATTTCTGTTAATAGCCAATTAACGTTTATTACTTTATTTTGTTTCCATTACTGTGTAATTTAGAGTACCCGAGTCTACGAAGCTTGGTATGATTGTAATTGGTACAATATGCCAACGGAAAATGCGAGACTAATTATTCTTTGTATGTCACGATCGCAAAAGCCGCTTTGTTTGACATCTGGCAAATTTGGAATTTTTTGCTTAAGTACATTAACTGACGTAAGTAAGAAGCAATAATGGTGACTCTTATTTATTGTGACATTTAACGTTACTTTAAAATCATTTTTCACACAGGTTTTAAAAACGGCAATGGCATATTTATCCGTTTTGCGATCTTTCCTGTAGCTCACACTGTCATGAATGCAGAATCATGCAGTTTTAGTAAACACATGTGCCGATTTTTTATTAAAAAATTATATTCATGTAATTCTATCGACTTCATGAATTTTGACTTATTAAAGGATTAACTCGAGCATTAAAGATTAACTGATTACACACTTCCAGCCGAGCTACAAAATGTGTTATTTTAGGAAATTTTTTCAAGGGTGTTAATATTAAAAATTAAATAAATTACTGTTATAGTTTGGCTTTTAGGACAAACTATTCGTAGCGTGAAACCCAGGCCTCGGGATTCGGATTTCGAATGATATTCGAAGGGAGATTTTCCTCGGAAGAAATAAGCAGGAACACTTGGAGTTTTGACCTCGAAGGGTTTATTTCGTAGAGAATTATGTTTCAGCAAGATCTTTACTGTAATAACATTATGTGACAGTCGCTGAGTTTAGAGTAAGACTGAGCATGTCGAGCATTCAGCTCCGATGTATGATACAGTCGAAAATCCGCAGGCTAGAGGGGTAGGGAAATATCGGTTTTAGGGTAGACGTGTCAAAGGTTGCGAAAATGCACTTTGATATATGTATAATAGGATAGGGATTCGTAATGTGGTCTAGGATGAGTCAAGGTATGTCGAGTGATAGGATGTGATCCTTAGCCTGGGTATCATTGCGAAATGCTTGCTGAATGAGTCGGGGAAATGTGTTTCACAATGTGGCGTATGCCATAACAATTAAAAACTACACATTATTTATTGATCCTTTAACTGTTTAAACGAAATCTTCAAAAATTAATTGCTTTTCTTGTTTAGGTTTCTCTCACTCCTGCAGTTGGAACACAGCGTTAGTGTCTGCATGATTCCATCTTTTTGACTGAATGAATATGTAAAATTCCAAAATATTCCTGTATGGTGAATGAAAAAATGTATTTTGGTAGCGCTGTTACTGGTACTGCTATGCAGTACTCCACATTGTCAGTGTTATTATCATAAGCCTCATTATCGTCGTTATTATCATCACCAACGTCGTCTACGTTGTTTTTTGATATTGTCGTCGTTGGTTAGAGACGGAAGGTACTCGTGCCCGAAATAAACAGCTTGGAAATACATGGCATAAAAGCGACCACCGTGATCAAGAGGAAAGCAGTTTTTTCGCGGATCGTGTGGTGATCGTCGCCGTGAAGATGTTAGTGAAAGTGTTAGTAGCGCCGGTGACGGTGGTGCTGGTGGTCGCCGAGCGACACAGGAAGATGTTGAGACTACGCGATAGGCCTCAAACATATATATATACGCAGCCAACTTAGCGAAGTTGACGAAAGCCATACGTTGTTAATGAGATCCCGAGAACGGCACCGGCTCTAGATTCTCGGATCCTTAACAGTCGATAACTTTTACCGAAGGACGGCAACAGCTCAAGATCCTTTCTAGCATAAGAACGACGCACCCGAACATAATATGCGTGTGATTGCGATAGTGCGAAACAAACGCGCATTGTACGTTTAATTTAACGCGTGGATCAGTATATCATGAAATTATTATTCTCGTATAGATGTGGGTTTTTATGCCGCCAGGCTTTTCCCATATGAGCTAATAAACATTAACCTTAATTTCGTGGTTCAATCTATGTGTGTTATTAATTCAAAAAAAGAGAATCATACCCCTTTATAATCAACACGAAATATTCATACGAAATTGCGAAGGAACTTCGCAACGAAGGACTTTCGACTATACAACTCTTGTAAAGTACTATTGTCGTTATAGTCTGTCCCGGGGAATTTTTGAATTTCAAAAAAAACGAATGTATTGTGATTGAAAAAAAATATTTTCACGAAAAATCATGCAAACAGTAACGCCATATTCCAACTGCATGATTGGGGAGAGTGTGAACAACAAAAGGATAAATGTGTGAAAAAGTTATATAACAAATTTTTTTTAAGCAGTTAACGAATCAATAAAAAATGTGTAATTTTTATTTTATTTTATTTTCAATATTAACACCCTTGACAAAAAATTCCCTAAAGTGGCTCATTTTTCGCTTGGCTTGAGATATGTAACCCCTTGATTAAATAAATTAGTTTTCACTGAGCATTCAATACCTTCACTTGTCTCGCACCTCAAAGAGTCTATGGATGATGAAGCATGGATGCACGGCGATGCCTTAGAAAATAAAGGCTGTTGAAAATCATAATTTTCATAAAATATCCGATCGAGGAGGTCCGAAGTGTCGCCGAACAGAATAAAATCCAGCGAAGATTATTATATAGAATATGATTTATGTAATCATGGATGTCATACAAATAAAGTTCATCGGTACATCAATTACGCGGTGCTGACGCGTTTATGTCTTCTCTGCTACCAAGTCATATATGTAAGACAGTCTTATTTCTTTTTTACGATACGTCTTACAAATTAGTAAATCTCTAGGCATAGAGGAAGACTGAAGTCGGTTGAGACGCAAAACAATTATATTTTAATTAATATAGTCAATGCCCCTCGCAGAATGTCTTGTCAAGTTTTGGTCATTTTCTTCTTACAACAACATAACAACTGATCACCTGATTATAATTTGTTCACTACCAATAAATGACGTATTAAATAGTCTTATTTAATTGGACACTGTGTTTCAACTGACACCAATCCTCACTACTGTAATCTCATCGGCGCACTTTGCACTATTGAAATACAATACGTTAAGAAACTCGTATATTCACTGAACACCTCTTATAGTCACGATGGATAAGAAAGAAGATACAAAGTAAAATAAAAGTTTCTAACCTGAACAGAAAACTTGGATGTAACGTAGCAGGTGCGTTAGATACCACGCACATTGGCAATGCACATATTAAATCCAATATGAAACTGAATATCGCTCATGCGTGAAGAATGCACGTAGAAGACATTATATGTAGAATTTTAGTCTCTCGAAATAAAAGGAATAATCGATGAACAGCTCAAGAACTCCAACGAAAAGAAATCGCTCGCCAGTTGTCCGCAAATTCTCGACAAAGATGGACGAGGTGACAGTGCGCGTGAGTATTGTATATTATACCAATAGGATATCTTCTCTGTGAACTATTATTGATACAAATAACACGGAAATATGAATAATTTACAATTTATACTAGCTGTATAAATTTTCAAGAAATAATCCACAAATTACACGATACACGTCACGATATGTTATTTTGATTGTGTTTCACATATAAGCTATACGAAACTCTTTATTGGATTGTGAAAAACCATGAGATTTGAGCGCACATTTTTGCGTACGTTTACGAGTATGCTGAAGTACGCGTACATACTCCAATCCCATAGTATTCTCTTCAATCCAATATTGCATTTCTGTGGCTAGCTTTACCTTTATCTTAGGGCGATTGCAGTGCAGCCGTAAAATTGATAAATTGGAACAAACGTCTTCTCTCGGCACTTGGCGTGTGGCCTCAAGCTCGAAAGGATGTGCGATATTTTCCCTTTTGCCTTCAGTTACTACGCTGCTGCTGTTATCCTCGGATACGCAGATCTCTTTCGAAACACGGATGATCTTGAATACATTTTCTGGAGTCTGCAAGAGAGTATCTGCTTTACACAGATCATCGTCAAGTTGGCTACACTGAGATACTACAATCACGAATTTGGAAAAATATTGTCGGCAGCGATAATTGATTTTAATGAATACAATTGCATGTTTCCTGAAGAAAAAAAGGCATTCATGATATATATATAAACATGTCGAGATTTTTCATGGCAATGCTAATAATGTCTGTTGTACTTGTAGCTCCAACGTACTATCTGATGCCACTAGTTATTCAACTTAAAGCTGGTGAGTAATGAACACTTTCAACTTTCCCTGTGGCAGCTTCTTCTTGTCGCCTTCCTTCTGTATGCTGGATATTTCAGAGTCAAGCTTGCTTTTCAAAGCGCCTTGGGCAGTTGTACCCTGACGCGAGAACTTATTACTACTTAGATTTCTTTTTACTTAGATTGGGAGCAATCTGAATTCGAAATTTCGACCGTACTTTCAAATATCCAGGGTGCACACGGAGGACCACACATGGTCAGTCCATCCAACACTAATGGATCCTCTGTCCTTATTATATCTTAGCAGAGAGTGCTAATGCATCAACTACATACAAATTACCATACTACATTTATGTGATATTTAACGTCCAGAGCATGCAGTCTTACATAATTGCATATATTATTGAATTGCCGACGGCAATTATTTCTGCGTTTAGCAATACTGCGACTGACGTCTTAATGTTTACGCTTGTTTTTTATATTTGCGGTCAGTTGTCAGTTCTGGCAATTCGTTTACGTAATTTGGACAAAAATAGAGGCTACTACAATATCAGAACTCTCGTTAAGCATCACATAAGGCTGCTGCGGTAAATTGCACTTCTTTCTGTGATATAATTAATTAAGTGTTAAGATAATGCGAATTTTTTTAAATTCATTTTTTTTCACAGAATGAGTCAGATCATAAAGATGCATTCAGTTTTGTTTTATTTGGTCATTTAGTCGGTGCAGGTATACTCATAAGCCTTCTTAGCTATCTATATTTAATAGTGAGTATTTATGAATCTTTTTTACAAATATGACTGCACAGGGCTGTGTTATTTGATGTATTATTTGATTACTTAACAGTATTATTCATTAGTTCAATGTGTACAGGGTACCAACACGGATCAGGGAAGAGATCTTGAACTTATAATTTTAATCATGTACGAGTTTCTTATTGTTTTTGTACTCTTCTCTCATTGCGTGGTTGGCCAGTATTTATATTTAGAGGTATCTTGTAAGAACAACGTTCTGTTATATCTTTGCCAATATTCACAAAACTTTTATTCCAACGCGTTCTCAGAGCGTCAACATACACGATGCATTTTACAATTGCAAATGGTACGACATGTCAAGAGAGGATAAAACGATTATTAAGTTTTGTATCGCAAGATCACAACAGCCGCTTTGCTTAACTGCTGGACAATTCGGTACCTTTTCGCTGGAAATGTTGACCAATGTAAGACCGAAGACGAATTGTATCTAAGAAGATTCACAATTAAGTACGATTCCGTTCACAGGTCTTAAAAACATCTATGGCGTACTTGTCTCTGGGACAACTTGTCTTTGGGATTTATGTCCCAAATTAATATTAAATATTTACACATATATAATCCAATAAGGTAGCCAAATCCTTGTGTATGTTCAATCTATGTATTTCTTCGCGCACTTCCTGCATTTCACTTGTTCACATTCGTTCTAAACTTCTCAATTATTTCTTTCAAACTTCTAATCCAGTCTAAGCTCCTATCTCTTCTACCTTAATTTCCTCCCAATCCAGTAAATCGATCATTGTCATTCTTTCTATCGTACTCACTCATTCATAGGTGATTACGAGCCAAATGACGCGCATATAAATGCATAGCGTATAGCGTCACGCTATTCGCACGTAAAATATTAAAGAGTTTCTTATGTTAGTCAATCCGAAGCTCCTTCTATGCAGGTAACAGCTTTTCCGCAGCTTCGTTGTTTCGGTACTCTGTGACAAACTTCACCTTATCCATGAAGAAGTCATGCTGGGAACGATTTTTGTATTTTATTAAATGTCACTAATCTCCCAAATGAATTAAGCATAATATCATGATGTTATAACAATTTCAACAGTAGCAATAAAAATTATAATTTCTAATATTCCTACAATTCTCTTAAAACGTCAAGTTGAACTACTTGTACAAATAAAAAAAAACAAAATGATTCCTCAATGCCTTATCCATATCCTTAACCTTGTCACTCAACACTAACTTTTGATCTTTTCTCTTTGCAGACCTCAAAACTTATTTATTGATATAATTATTGCTTCAAATAATACGTTTTTGTTCGCCTAGCACATTTGCTGTATGTTTTATTGATCGTACGTCCTAAATGCTACATTAAGATGCGGTCAAAATTATATACTTAAAATTGTATTTGATTATGACCAATATAGCATTCAGCACATCTTTCAGGTAGAATTCAGATTCTTAAGGTAAGTTCGTTTATCGTGGATGCTGATGCGAGAATTATAATGGACATTTTCAACATTGTGTCGTATCAACACAGAGTAAAAAAATTAACGAAATTATCCTCTTTGGTGGCATTGAACCAACAGTGCGTCAATGGTGAATTTCCTAAATGTTATATCTAATAGGTATAATTAACGATCCGAAGAACTTCCGAATCAAAATCGTCAATCGTATGTACAAGTTATTATTTTCTTTTACCACTGGGACGCAATTAGTTAAATTTCGTCTCACATTGAAAAGAATTAAACTATATTTTCTCTTAATGATATAAATTTTTCATTCTACAGCTTTTTTTATGGCTTCCTTACTACCCTAAAAGGAGAAAGTATAAGCTTGCTTAGTGTATTACACGCAGACTCCAATTTTTGTATTACCTTTATAACTTTAAGTCTATGACAGTACAAGAGGAAAGGATTGTTATGGTATTAATTTATTTCTACAGTAAAATTTGTGTTGGATGTGATAGAATACTCTCATTGTATTGTAATGAAATTTTACAAGATGTTTATTGATAATTTCAGTTTGATCAAGTTATACATGATACAACACTATTTGGAAGAGAAGCATATATGTATATAAATAAATATTTTGAAACGTTATCTGCGTCTATTGTTATTGCGAAAATCTAACCTAACCTAAATTCTGATTATCTGCCTTCCTGACCATCCTTCTAAACTGCAGTACTTCGTCTCCCTCATTTTCCTTCTCTTCTTTCCACTCCACATTGACCGTGCTTCCTTTCATGCTCTCCCTTCTCAACCTCATTTCTTCTCGCCAGCTTCTCATCTCCTTACCCTCTCTTCTATCCCTTCTTCTCTCCTTGTTTCCTCGATCCTTACTAACTATCTTTTTCACTCTTTCTTTTTAACAATCTTCCTCTTTTTCCCTTCAACAACATCTTCCCTAGCTGCTGCCACCAACCGTTTCTGTTCTGTTTCCGAATCTCCTATTCCCTTGTATGTCTCCATCACTTTCCTCCTATCCTTCAAAATTATGTTGTTAAAAAGTCCTTTGGAAAAGGGAAAGTCCAAAGTTGTAGCGCATATAACATACCACACGTATATTATATTGCAGTGATATATTTAAAATATATCTCTAATGGCATATTTATTACTAATCTTTCGCAGGCTATAAATGTACAACTGTACTTCATATACTGTATTATTATTGTATTTGTCGAATAAATTATCTTGAAACACTTATACACGTTGATATTCTTTTGCCATCTGCGAATATCCCAGAGTACGAATGAGTTCTGTCTCCTTTTACTCTCCTCCATCCTATCAGCGTCCTTCTCCTCCTCCTCCTCCCTCATTCTTCGTTGCCCCTTTTCAGCTGTGCTCCATTCTCTCTGCCATTATTTCCATTCCATCTCTGCCATATTATCCATATCTTGACTTCGTTTTTCTTTATCAATACTACCATCTACGATAGAATGATTCCAAATGTAATTTGAAAATCCCATCGTTGAAACTTTAGTGGGTCAATTCTTATTAAAGTATTCGGATTAGTTCGAATTTTCGCCGATAAGGGGGCAGCCCCTCCTGGGCATGATATGTGGCGCCATCTCTGAGCGAACGAGTGAACTATCTCGGATAAAATAATTCCGAATTCAATTTAAAAATCTCATCGTCGAAATTTCAATGAGTAAATCTTATTAAAGAACTCGCATTAGTTCGAATTTTCGCCGATAAGAGGGCAGCACCTCCTGGGCAAGATATGTGGCGCCATCTCTGAGCGAACGAGTGAACTATCTCGGATAAAATAATTCCGAATTCAATTTAAAAATCCAATCGTCGAAATTTCAATGAGTAAATCTTATTAAAGAACTCGCATTAGTTCGAATTTTCGCCGATAAGAGGGCAGCACCTCCTGGGCAAGATATGTGGCGCCATCTCTGAGCGAACGAGTGAACTATCTCGGATAAAATAATTCCGAATTCAATTTAAAAATCCAATCGTCGAAATTTCAATGAGTAAATCTTATTAAAGAACTCGCATTAGTTCGAATTTTCGCCGATAAGAGGGCAGCACCTCCTGGGCAAGATATGTGGCGTCATCTCTGAGAGAACGAGTGAACTTTTTCGAATAAAATAATTCCGAGAGTAATTCGAAAATCAGCTGTGTCTCGGAAGAGACTGGTACTGATCAAATTGCGATAGGGCACTTTCAAAAAATCCCTTTACTTTTTGCAACTTGCTGATGGAATGGAAGTAATGACAGAGAAAATAGAGCATAGCCGAATAGAGGTGTAGCAGTATAAGGCAAGAAAAGGAGGAAAAGGATACTGTTATAATCGAGGAGAATCAGAGAGAACCAGAACTCACTCGTACTTTGGGATATTCGCATAGGATAAAATAATATTAACGTGTATAAGTGTTACAAGATAATTTATTTGACAAATGCAATAATGATACAGTATACGAAGTACAGATGTACATATATAGTCCGCGAAAGATTAGTAATATCAATGCCATTAGAAATATATTAAAAGATATCACTACAATACAATATACGTGTGGTATGTTACATGCGCTACCACTTTGGATTTTTCTTTCTCCAAAAGACATTTTAAAAACTTAGTTTTTGAGGATATACTAGGAGGAGAGTGATGGAGAATAGGAAGTAATAGGAAATTCGAAAATAGAGTAGAAACGCTTGGTGGCAGCAGCAGGGAAGATGTTGTTGAAGGGGAAAAGACGAAGATTGTCAAAAAGAAATAGTGAAAAACAGAGATGGTAAGGATTGAGGGAACAAGGAAAGAAGAAAATGAGTAAAACGTGTGCACGAGAACTAGATTATTCTGGAGCAGCGAGAAAAGAGAA